CCTCCTGCACCCTACTCTTGCAGCTGGAGTGTGAATGTGTGAATGGGAGACAGCAGCCTCTTGCTTCAGGAGTTAGGAGGACTAAGAAGTTGTTTAGGACTTATGTCACAACTATTGCCATTACATTCAGTGACATATGGAATGATTAAGGTGTACTATTAGTTAAAAAAATTACTAAAGATCTGCATGGTCTGGTAGCAGAGGAAGTTAATGCGGGGGCAGTGAGAGCATGAGTTATCATACCAAGTGATACTAATCCTAGTGATGCCACTGTCTTGTGGCAGTGTGGGCAAGAGGCCGCTTGGTTGCTGCTCAGTTGAAGCTGACCAGGTAGAAAGGGAGAAGCTTCTTTCTAGTGAGGAAAGACATCGGGGTGAACAGTTGTGACATAAACAACTCCTAAACAACTTCTTTGTCCTCCTAACTCCTGAAGTTGGAGGTGGCTGTCTTCCATTCACAGCTGGTATGAACAGAATAGGTTTACAGAGGCCACTTGCTCTGGACTGGAGACTGGCATGGATGGGGGAAAGGGAGATATTTTAAGTACCGGAGCTGCTCCAAGCACTCTTTCCAAGAACTGACCCCAGATACTCCTACCCCTCTTTCACTAGAGGCATGCCTTCCCCACACAGCTTCAACTGTTTACCCCCCCCCCCCAGCATTGTTTCTTCTGCTGCTTTTTCTCTCAGCCTGTCTGATGAAAGAAAGCAGGAACAACAGTGCAGCTCCAACCTTCCAGCCAAGTCCTGGCAAAGCTCAGAAAGCTGAAGCGGAATCCAAAATTTGAAAGCTCCTTTTTGCCACCACTTCTCCTTGGTCACCATGTGCTCTAACACCTCACACAAGCCAGTACACCTGTCCCAATATGGCACTGCTCAAAGCCACAGAAGCAATGTCCTGCATCCAAGCTTCACAAGACTTTCCCAACCATCACTACTAGTGAAAGGAAGTGAGCAGGAGACACCACCACACACAACAATCAGCACAGGAATGCTGAAAAGAAGTTTCATGCAATTTTCATCACCACCATGGTCCCAAAGACTGCTGGTTCTCCTCATCTTTCTTGAGCACCAGTACTTTGACTGAAAGAGTCCCCCTACTCCCCCTCACCCCCTTTCCCCCTCACAGCCCTCCTGGATCTTTGAACTGCCCCCAAGGGGGGCATACCACCCACTTTGGAAATCACTGATTTAGCAGAATCAGCATTAGGAGGGTGGCAAAAGAGAGTTGGAGAAAAAGACTTTTGATATAGGATTGCAGCAGCACGTAAACCAGGGGTAGGCAACCTTTCCCCTCTAAGGGCCGAGGGACTTCAGCTTCCAGAATCCCAGGAGCTATTGGCCAACATGGCACAATTGGCCAACATGGCTGAGGCTTCTGGGAGCTGAAGTCCCTCGGCCCTTAAAGGGGAAAGGTTGCCTACCCCTGTCCTAAACAATGTCCTAAACAATGCAATAAAGCTTGAGCTGGAAAACAACAGGATTCTACTCTAGCCAATCCTACTGCAGTTATCTGTGCCAACCTACAACAGAAAAGGTCAACAGCAGTTGCCTCCAGAATCCTTTCCTGAGGATGTGTCAACAGAAAGCAAAGCAAAAAGAGGAAAGATTTTTTTTTACCAGCCTCCTCCCCCCCCCCCCCCCCCCCCCCCCCGCACCATGATCTATATGTTTGACTACCAAAATGGAAATCATAAGAATAGTGAAGGCTGATGAAAGAAAAAAAATCATCCCTGGAGGAAGCTTTCAAGTGGCCTCTAGAAGGATCAAAATGTTTCTTTTTTACTTATGGGAGGCTTACATGACCTGGTTGCATCCTTTCACATGTGCACATTGTTAATTTTGGATTTTAAAAAATGCTGAATATTGTTGAACAGCTCTTCTTTTTTTTTGTGCTGCAGAACCTGACCTAGACCTGAAACAGATGGGTCAAAAGTGCTGCCTTCGGGCTGATCTGGAGGCATGACGTACAGATGACACACACAGAAAGATCAGGCCGAAGCTGTTCCACAGCTGCCTAAGGCAGCCCAAACCAAGCCACAAAAGGAGTGCAAAAAAGCACTCCTTGCTGACAGTCCATTGCAGACTGCAGTGGTGGCTGCCCTCAGGACTGCGATCCCACACCGAATGGGGAGCAACCAGCACTAGAGTGGCCAGAGGCCACCCCAAGCTGCTGGTTTGCTTGACCCCCTGGTTGGTTCATTTCACATGGACTTTGAATAAAAAAGTGTGCTGAAACATGTTGAACTGCTCTTCCTTATGTGTTTAAGGAATCTTTCCCCATTATTTCTCTGGCATTTCTGCTTCTGGTACCTAATTTTCTGTAAAAGAAATAATGTTCAGGAATACATTTACTTCAGGATAAATAAAGATTTTATAAAAAATATTTCATTATCTCCAAGTAACAAGATAACTTTTAGTCAAGACATTGCACTTCAGTTACTCCTTAGCCACAGATTTTTTTATCCACCAATTCAAGCATACATGGCTTGAAAAAATTCAGAAAAAGTATAAATTCCAAGTAGCAAATATTGATTTTTCCATTTTACATACAAGACACAATTTTACTATGCCATTGTATTTAATGGGACTTGAGAATCCACCAATTTTGGTATTCATAGGGGGTACTGTAACCAAACGCCAGTGGATAACAAGGGCCCACTATATTCTCATTCCTGCAGAAAGTAGTTTGTAACACCACACACAGAAGGAGCCAATCTACACTCCACTACATGCAGAGTGTAGAAAGCTTCACAAATGATCAACACACATATTTTTTACTTTAACTGTTAGGGAGTATGTACATTCTCAGTAAATGACCTCCAGTTTCCTTCCTTTCCCTTCCATAAGCCAAGGCACTCTGACCCATAGGAAAAGACTGGGTGTTTGAGCTGTCATTTGAATGTCATCTAAATGGCTCACTGTGAGATCTCTCCAGGGCACTATGAGAAATTCAGATATTGTCTAAAACACTAAAATACCTGATATAGAACACAGCGTCACAATAAAAAAAAGTTCAAAGTGCGTTCCAAAAGAGTTTTCAGCAGTGGTCCTGCCTGGGGTGATGGGGTCCTTGGAAAAGTTACTTTTTGCAATGATAATTCCTATCTTCCCCCAGCCAGCTTGGTCAGTGGCCATGTTGCTTGTGGATTTTTGGCATTTGTAATCCAAAAAGTAACTTTTCCCAATGTCTACTCGTAACAGCTGCCCAAGGAAGCCTCTCCAGGCTAATCATATATCTGAAGTGACCATACTCTGACCTGGATGCCACAGTTCCTCCATGTTATCCATGATACACCATTGCCAAGAGTAGTAGCCCAATGCCTTCCACTCAGTGATATTAAGGAGCTCCCATGCTTTGACGTTGGTAGGATTCCTCTCTGGCTCCTCTACAGTGGATGTCTGCACCAGGTCTTTCCAACCTGTCTCTCATTGCATTAGTATCTTTTAGTCCTTCTAAAACAAGATTAAGTGAGTGTATAGTCCCTGCCCTCCAACCATTGTGCAGTGAGAGGGGTTGTTTCTCATCCAAATACTCAGAACAGCTTCTCTGCATTGTATTTCAACCACAAAATTACATGGGACCTTTTTATCTCATAAAGTGTGTAATGAAAAAAGTACCTAATGATAAAATGCAATCAATGTGTTGGAACAATTTTGATCCATTTTTATATCAGTGGAACAAAACAACAACAATACCCTTTCCATGAGGTGATAATGTTATAAAATGCCTATCAGGTAAAGCTGCTTCTGTGCAAATTTATGACTAGGATGATAGTTAAGGTTTCCACCTAAAGCTGTGGACAAAATAAACTAATCTGATCTTGTAGCACCTTTGAGACTTAACTGAAAGAAATAAGTTAGTAGCATGAGCTGTTGTAAACTTGAGCCTACTTCCTCAGATGCATGTGACATGGCTATGTCTTTGAATTAACTCAAACTGGAAAGAGTAGATGCTGCAGGTAACAGCCCAAGGATCCTAAATATGTTATGATGTGTAATGATCTGGGGGGGTTGGGGGGGGGAGGATTCTAGGTATCTGACAATTCTTAGAAAGAGAGAAAGAAAATGAACTTCCATGCATTCTGTGAGCTAATGGCCACTATGTATGGTGTTTTCATTCTTAAAGTATGAAATGAAAGATCTTTTTAGCCTGCAGCAAGGTTCTCAGATTGATTTTGATTCTCTAAAGTGCAGAAACTCCAAAAAATGGATCAGTGAGGAATGCAAAGGAAACAAAGAATTTGTGTATCAGTTTAGCACATACAGTTTTACTGGACATTTGGGACTGGGGGATTTACGGTAAATGTTAAATGAGCCCTAAGCATTACAGACTTATGGAAAGAGGGTTCATAGCATAATAGGAAACTTTGAATGAATCAATGAATGAATGAAAGACTACTGCAGTCTGTTCCGCCTTTTACTGATGTTTTGCTCAAACACATTCAGATGTTTTAAATGCATAAAAACCTTTATCAATAGCATAATTCTCACTTATTCTCCTAAATAAAAATGAGTTTGGTCATTTGGTATTTTTACACTTTTAATATTCATGGAATGATGAAGTAATTACAGATTTGGAATTCTCATTTTTCTAAGATTATTGCATCATTAATAACAACAGATCAAGGTTGGCCTTGGACATCTTAGAGTTCTTTTAATGGTCCCTTTAGGAATACAACAATTGAATGACTTTATTGTTTGTTTGATTGTGGTTTATTTTAATTATGTGTTTGTATCATTGTTTTAATGCAAAAATTGCTTAATTCCTTTTTAAGGGGTGGGGGGCTGTGGGATTTGGATGGTATTTTAACATTGTATGATGTTTTTAAATTGTTGTGTACTGCCTCGATTGTGTGACAGAGGGGCAGGATATAAATAAAAATTATTATTATTATTATTATTATTATTATTATTATTATTATTATTATCAATGACTCTATGTAATCAAAATGACATCTTCTTCTCTATGCTCCTCCCCAATCATTATATAGAGATAGAGGTTATGTAGTGTAGTGGTTTGAGTGTTGTACTACAACTGTGGAGACCAAGTTTCAAATCCCTGCTGAATCATAAAAGCCACTGGGTCACCTTAGGTGAGTCACATTTTCTCAGCAATGGCAAACCTCTCTGAAGAAATTTGCCAAGAAAACACCATGATAGGTTCATCTTAGAATCACCATAAGCTGGAAATGACTTGAAGGCACACAACAACAATGAAGAGGTTGCACCCAAGGAGCAATGACCCTTTAATTCAATGATGAAGTAAATTCTTTACATGCAGAAAGTCCCAGTTTTGATCCATGATGTCTCCAGACAGATGTATAGCTCAGATATAGAAATGAGAAAAACCTGTAGCTGAGACCCTGGGATACTGTCAGAATTTGGAAAATGACTCTTTTAGAACATTATTTTCAGAAATCTATATTCTTTTCCAAGCTTTAGAGACTACTGAGAGTCAAAGCAGATGTCACTGGGATTCAAATGCTACTTCATTGAAGGAGAAATAATATGTATGATTAAAGCTGTGCATTTGCCTGTGATATGGGAGCAATTAATCATTGTTTGATATCTCATATTGTTCCTCTTCTACTTTGAGAACTTCTGTTCCATTGTTCCCGACCAACAGAATTATCAATGTGTTCTATTATTAGCCAACATATGAGTTAACACAGTGTCACCTTAAATATGGTTTATGTAATCTGCCATCAAGAACCTCCTGTGTTCTCTTTGTCATACTGTCATTTATATGTAGATTCCACAGCAAAGAGTATTTACCAAACCTCTAATTCAGGACTGGAAATCATGCCACCCTCTAGTTTTTGTTGCACTGGAAGTCCCAGCAGTCCTAACCAGCATAGCTAATAGTGGAAATGCTGGGAGGTCTTGTCCAACAATGACTGAAGAGTCATCTGATTCTAACTCCTGCTTTAAACAGTCATCATTTCATTGAAACTTATTTTGTCTCCTAAACTACTCTTGGACCTTGAAGTTCATCTACAATCAACCTTTCATATACACAGATTCTACATCCATGGATTCAACTATCCATGGTTTAGAAATATTTTAAAAATAAAATAAAATAAAACCCACAAAAAACCCACCCTTGATTTTGCCATTTTATATAAGTCACACCATCTTACTACCCTATTGTATATAATGGGATTTGAGTCTCTACAGATTTTGGTATCCATGTTGGGTCCTGCAAATATCACGGGACCACTGTATTAATTTATTAAGAATTTATCAGTTTGTGTATTTTTAATTACATTTGTATTCTAATTTTCTTCAACTAAGCTAAGAGCAGCATTCATGAGACTCATTTCTTGACACAACAAAATGCTACATTGTGGAGCATATTCCCAACTGTAGAACATATTTCTGTTTAGCCTCCTCCTCCCATGACAGTTTCCCATTCCCCATTCCCAATACCGAATTTTCCCCTGAAAATAAGACACTGTCTTATATTTACTAAAGAAGGCACAGTATGGCTTATTATCAGAGGATGTCTTATTTGTCCCAACTCTGCCCTTACAACACATGCTCATCCACAGGGCACCCTCTTAGCACAGTGTGCATACACACTGCACCAAAAGGGGGCAAAAGAGTCACCGTGGCAGCTCAAAGGCCAGCTTTTTGCCGCCCCAAAAAAGGAAAGGCATTTAGCTGCTCTTTTGAGGGCAACAAAAAGGAGGATTGGGGCCGTGGCATGTGGTTGCCATGACCCCGATCCACTGCTCCCAGGAGCAGCCCAGAAAAGAGACATGGCAGCAGCTCAAAGGCTGGCTTTTTGCTGCCCCCAAAAGGAACGGCCCTTTAAGCCGCTCTTTTGGGGGCATCAAAAAGGAGGATCATGGCCACGACCCTATGAGCCATGGCAGTGGCTCTTTTCTGTGCCGCCGCTCCCAGGGGCAGCCCAGAAAAGAACCACCGCTGCACCCCAAAGGAGTGGCTCTTTGAGCTGCTTTTTTTTTTTGGGTGGCAAAAAGGAGAATTGGGGCCACGCCCCTTTGAGCCACCACAGCGGCTCTTTTCTGGGCCACTGCTCCCAGGGGCAGGCCAGAAAAGAGCTGTGGCTGCAGCTCAAAGACTAGCTTTTTGCCACCCCCAAAAGGAGCAGCCTTTCAAGCCGCTCTTTTGAGGGTGGCAAAAAGGAGGATCGGGGCCACGGCGTGTGGTTGCCATGGCCCAGAAAAGCCCCATTTGCATCGGTCCTATGTCTTATTTTGGGGGTATGGCTTATATTGCACAAATGCTTACACATCCTGCTATAACCTATTTTAAGGGGTATGTCTTATTTTCGGGGAAACACAATCATTATGACAACAGTCTGCACTCACTGTGTATCATTTTACCTTGCTGTATTGTTTTACTTGCTGTGCCCTAAGAGGTTTTTTAAAATATTTATGGTGGACTAGGGGTTATAGTGAGGTAGACACTGCAAACCTTGAACTCCACACAGGCTGAAGTCACCTTACTCCTATCCTTGGGTGGAGCCTTGGGGATTCTTGGGTGTATTTGCAATATGATGGTTCTACCTCTATAAGTCACAGATAGGGTTCCCAGATTGAGGAGTGGCTCTTCTTCTCAGCTCTTCAAGTCAAGGGGGAGGAATCATAGCATGAAAATATTGCCTTGAAACTTTTACATACACACACAGGCATCACTAATGGAAGTGCCGTAAGTGTGAACCACACTAGGTGACATCCTAAGGGAAGGGTGACACCACTGGTCCGCAAATGTCTGCCTTTTGGTAGCAATGGGTCATAGTGTTTGGCCTCATCCTTTTAAATCCCTGGAACTCAGAAGAAGAGAAGGCATGAGTAGGGTGAAGCTCAGTGGCAGAGAAAGGAGAAGCCTCAGGTTTTTTTGTTTTAAAAAAAATATTCTTTTTAAATTGTCTTTAAAAAAGCCATACCTTACCAAATGTCCACTTTGAATACATGGAACTATGTAAGAGTAAATACATTTAGGCTGTGCTTATGGTTTTGTAATTTAAAGTTATAACTTTAATTTTGATAGTTGTTTATGTCACAAGTATGGCCATCACATTCAGTGATATAAGTGAATTAAGATTTACAAGTAACATTAGTACAACAAACATTACTAAGGATTCCTTATGGTGCAGTATGGGGGAGGTCAATGGGTAGATGACACCACGAGCTACTGCACCAGTGATACCAGCCTTAATGATACATACTACATTACACAATGAAAGCAAAACTTTTAAAAGCTTTGTTTGCCTAGATTAGGGAGATTATCACACGAGCTTCCGCCCAGCCCCAAAGCGGACTGAAAATTGAGGGAATTTTTTTCAGATCAAATGTTATCGCATCCCTCTGTCTGCAAACTGGAGGCATCCATCCCTGATCTGTCCTAATCCCTTCTTTCACAAAGAATGGGAGTTACCGAAGGACCAGATTAGGACAGATCGGGGACCAATCTGACTAAAATCAGGTCATGATGCCTCCAGTCTGTGGACAGAGGTGCGTGATAACACCCAATCTGAAAAACATTTCCCAAATTTTCAGTTTGCTCTGGAGTCAGGCGGAAGCCCATGCGATAATGTCCTAGAACTCTCATGTATTCTTAACAGCAGCGCTTGCAAAGGTGCAACATTGTTCAACAATACCTCACTGCTTTCTTGATTCTTGGACAGAGTCTAATTCACTGGTGGTCCAAAACTCCAGCCAGAGACCCCCAACAGACTGTGAAATAATAACAATAATAGGTCCATTCCTGATTTCATGGATAGAGGGATCATATAGCATGTGCCACACATGCAAAATCCCCCCCTAGATATGAAAGAGATAACTGGATAAATACCAACCTGAAGTTTATGTAATCAAGGATCAAGATTGTAAATGTATCTTTCCTTTAAATAAATCAGTAACAGAAAACAAAAAAACAGAAGAGAAGAAAAACAAAAGGGAGATAGGAAGAAACTAAGAATTATGAATGCAAAATTACAATGGCTTGTGAGGAAAGATTAAAAAAATCACTACAACGACCAATACAGAGAAACAAAACATAACAACAAAAAGGGAAGAACAAGATCTATCTCACAAGATCCAGGAAATCAAAGGAAAATTGAAACTAAGGAACAGGACACTTTATAACAATAAAAATATCCAAAAAGCATCTGAGGAAGTAGACTGAAGTCTACGAAAGCTCATGCTGCCAACTTCTTTCTTTCAGTTAGTCTCAAAGGTGCTACAAGATCTCATTACATAATAAAAATATCATAATTCAACACCAGGAAGGAATAAAGAGATGTTGGATGCAATACACTGAAGAATTATACAAAAGAAATGACAAAATAAAGGACACATGGAGTGAAGAGCCATATGATGATGAACCCCAAATTCTAAAAAGCAAGGTGAAACTGCAATAAGACAAAAATTGAAAAACAAATCACAAGGAACAGATGATATTCCAATTGAACTACTGCAGTCCACATTGACAGAGTCAACTCTAGTGCTAACCAACATATGTCAATAGATATGGAAAACAAAATGATGGCCAACAGATTGGAAGCAATCAATATGCAACCCCATCCACAAAACGGAAGACACAAGAAATTGAAGCAACTATAGACCATAGCACTAATCTCCCATGCAAACAAAATCATTCTCAAAATTTTGCAACATAGAGTTCATCCATACATGGAGAGAGAAATCCCAGAGGTTCAAGCAGGGTTCAAGAAAGGAAGAGGGTCTAGGGACCACATCACAAACATACGATGGCTAATGGATCACACCAAGGAATTCCAAAAGAAAATCAG